AGACTCAAAACTCATCTGTTTAGCTGTGCATTCATTGAATGAGCACTGTGCGATGTCCGAACTGATTGCACTATATTTTATGTATAATCTTTTTCTATTCTTAACTGTTTTAATTCATTTTAAATCAATTTTAGTTTATTTTAAAAGTTTTAATTTTTTTTAATGATTATTTTAATTCCTTTTATGTAAAGCACTTTGAATTACCATTGTGTATGAAATGTGCTATATAAATAAACTTGCCTTGCCTATAATGCATCCCTTAATTACTACATGCAGATTCACCTAACCCTTCTAAGCTGTTCGGGGTCTTTTTAACGCTAAATGATATTTGCTGAAATAAAAAAATTGTTCCTTTTATCGAAATGGCATGAGACTTTGTACGGTTGTCAACACTTGCTAGCTTTACAACTAAAAAATTAAATTGGACTGATATATTGTTGTATGTTAGTGTGGGGGAAAAAAGTCACACTCAGGATGTTTGGGGTCTCTGGAGATCCCACATAGAAATGAATGGGAAAATTATCAAATTAATATTTTTCTTTATAATTCGTCAAATAAAATCACTAAATCCGCCACAATTCAGAACACAAAATACACAAAAATGAAGTGGCAACCCTTCCACTCATCCACAATGTGGAACGCTCTCAGTCTTTACTAACACCACAATCCAACGAAAGGGCACCACCTGAAAAAGCATTAACTTCTGAAACACCTCCACCTTTGATAAGGAAACGCTTGGATTTTACAGACCAAACCTCTTGGTCTCACACGCCAACCCAGAGAACACAACTCCCCCTTCAATCATCAAAACCCTCAAGCTCCACAAGAAGAGTGGAACACATGGCTGACCTCCAGACAGAGACCCAGCCTCCAATCCGTAGCATTCAACAAAGACAGGAACCTGGGGGAGATAAATATAAAAACTGGTCACTGACTCCAGAAAGACCCATTCTTTTTGGGGGGGACTCAAACCTTTGCCACCTTCCCCCCCATCGACAATGGAAATTTACAAATAATCAGCTACCCAGGGGCAAAACTAGAACACGCCTACCACATCATCAGAAACAAAACTCCGACGTCTTCACAAGTGCAACAAGTAATCCTATCCTTTGGTCTAAACAACAGGGAACGAGTAAACTGGGCGCACTTAGGAAAAACATTACAACGCATTCTCGGGGCAGCAAATCACACGTTTCCCAATGCTATGATCCATATCCCTCTAATCAACTTCAATAAATCCCTACCCACCAAATTAATCGACAACTTTATATTTCTTAACGAAATAATTCATCAATAATTCGTCGCAGCATTCCCCCGTTACCATGGGAATCTTTGAAAACACAGGAGGATAAGGTCCATTGGACTCCAACTACGGGGAAAGCCATGGCTAACCACTGGTTAAAACATTTAAACTAGATGCGAAACAAACCGCAGGACAGGTTTCTTTATTAAAACGATCAGTAGTTAATCTCTCCCAAATCTATGACTTATCCCCAACACAAATACGCTTACTGGATAAAGGACTCTTTTATTCCTTCGCATATGATAAAACCTCACGATCGAAACAACCTGTTGGTGGATCTAGGCCGATTCCATACAAAGATTCAAAGGACTCTATACTTTGGAACTGGTGTGGATGCAACAAAGGCATTACCATTTTGTCAAAAATCGAGTTGGATGCCCCCACCACAACTTCTACCTAACGAAACATGGGATTTTTTGACAGAAACATCACCGATTTTCAAACCCTAACCGCTCGTCCCTTCACCCTTATGCCTAACCTATCAACGGAGGAGATTGAAGCCTTAGAAGACCTCTCTCGCAGAAAAGACATTGTCATTAAACCGGCGGACAAGGGTAGTGCGGTAGTTATTATGGACAAACTTCAATATGTACAGGAAAGTCTCCGTCAATTACAAAACACAGAATTTTATACCAAATTGACAGCCCCTATCTTCCAAGAATCAATACCCCACATCCAACAAACAGTACAAAAGCTATTGGAAGATGGCTATCTACATAAAAGACAGGCTGACTACCTAGTAGGAGAACAGATCCCGAGATCAAGACGCTTTTACCTCTTACCTAAAATCCATAAACCTCGAAGTACATGGCCTACTCCAAATATGCCTCCAGGTCACCCCATAGTGTCAGACTGTGGGAGCGAGAGCTACAGGATTGCGGAATTTATCGATTTTTATCTAAACCCCCTATCCACCAAATATAAAAGCTACATAAAAGACACATATGACTTTGTAGAAAAAGTAAAAAAAGAGAAAATTCCTCCCAATTCCTTCTTATTTTCCCTTGATGTAGATAGTCTATATACTAACATAGAAACTCCCCTAGGTTTAAGAGCAATACGAGACACCTTTAGCAAACACCCTGACACCTCCCGACCGGACGAAGCACTTCTCGACTTACTGGAACTCAGCCTCACTCGTAATGACTTTGAGTTCCATGGAGAATACTACCTACAAACCAAAGGCACAGCAATGGGAAAGAAGTTTGCTCCCTCGTATGCAAACATCTATATGGCTCAATGGGAGGAGACTGTCTTCCCCAAATGTACAAGGTTACCACATTGTTATTACAGATATTTAGACGATATATGGGGGGTATGGCAATATGGCCATCAGGAATTTGAAACATTCCTACTAACCCTAAATATCAACAGCCGATTACCAACAAACAAAGATAGAACGAACTCCAGGACAAAACCCAAAATAATCAAATCACCAGGACAACGAAAAGCATACCCCCTGCCAAACATTCCTTTGAACACAGAAAATTGCATCTATGTAATAACATGCAAAAAATGTAAAAAGCAATATGTGGGACAAACTAAGAATGCCATCAGAACAAGATTACACCACCACAGATATTGCATCCGCTCCCATACAGCCAATGTAAGAAATATAACACTTATAGATAATTTTCAAAGACATGGACTTGAGAATCTATATATCCAGGGCCTCGAACACAAACCAAAATGGACAGAAAAACAAAGACGTCGTGCAGAAGGGTTATAGATAAAAAAAACTGGACACGAAGGTCCCCAATGGCTTAAACGAGCGTGGAGAAGGAAGATAATTTAAGCTCGGTATATGGATAACAATACTAATCTACCCTGTAAATAGTTTACTCCTAAAATGTTCCTCTATAAAAAAATTAAAAAACAATTTAAAAAATGGGGGATGTGTATGATGACCAAGGAAACAAAGGGTAGTGACCCAATTCGTTTCCTAATCTGAACACCCTCTAATAAATTAATACATATATATTATTTTTAGGGGTAATTTTTTGCAAAAAAAAAAAAATGATACACATAACAAACGAGAACCATGAGAGGAAAAAAAATAAATAAATACTTTAAACGATCGCGTCTCAACATTCGCATTTCGACTTTCGACGTTCGCATCTCGACTTTCGACGTCGACTTTCGAGTTCGCATCTCAACGTCCGTGTTCACATCTCGACTTTCGACGTCGACGTTCGCATATGAA